GGTCGTACACTAGTACTAACTAATAAGTTAGTTAGGTTAGTTTAGTTACTTACGTTACTTATTAATTTTAAAGTTTAAGTAACGTAAGAAGATAATATCTCTCTCTCTCTCTCTCTCTCTCTCTCTCTCTCTCTCTCTCTCTCTCTCTCTTTACACGCACACACATATATATTTCTTTTTTTATCTCACGCTTTAGTTTTTTCCTTTCTTTTTTTTTCTAATTGAAATGAAAAGGGATATGTGAAGAAACAGGCAGTATTTATATATATGATTAGACTAAGATACTATCCTCTATTAAAGGACAAAGTAACGTCCAATAAATATTTGTAGTATATTTATTGTGCATGACATAGATATGATAAATATATTTCTATATATTAATTTGGCATCTAAATATTTTTTTTAAAGTTGTAATTAACCATTTATGAATTAAATTTCTCCATTTTATAATTTATTTACCAAACTAAGAAAATTATATCAAGCCATGAACCCCCCCTCCTGCCTCCAAAAGAGTGCGCCTCCCAACCATTAAGCACCAAAGTTCAACCTTCCTTTTTCAAGGTGACTAGTCCATAGTGAATTTGCATTGAAACTGGCTCCAGTCACAACAAGGTAATTTAACTGCACAAAGAACACCCTCATCTATCCAGAGTAGTTTACGGAGTCCTAGTTATGCAAGGATGCAAATTCCAATATAGGAATCATGTGATGAACACCCTCATCTACCTAGAGTATTTTATGGAGTCCTAGTTATGCAAGGATGAAAATTCCAACATGGAAATCATGTGATACTTAGGTGAATGATGCCAATAACAAACAAATTGAATTTGAAATTGTCTGGCAATACAAAGAATTATAGCAAAATATTATGACGACCCAAAATCATTTTCTATGATTGGACATCCATAAGTTAGCCATAGAATTCTATTTTGTGACATGAATCTGATTATGTGCCCATAGCACATGCCAGAATGCACCTCTTCCAAAGAACTTGAAAAATGGTAGTGCTTAATAGCAATGTCCCATCAAAATACTTCTTATTGTTGGGTGCATGATACAATACCACCCCCACTGATGCAAATCGCATCCAAGATATTTATTTATTTATTTATTTTGAGACTGAATTTTAGGGATATTCATATAGTGGTTGAAAATGGATTTTTATTTTATGTAGGATGGGCTAGGATGGATTTCCTAGTTTGTAGGATTCCATGAACTTATTTTGGTAGGATTGTTAGATAATTAGAAAGAGAATGATGGCGGAGGGTTGATCACGTGTGGGGTAGAGAACTTTCCTAGAAAAGAGGATCTATGAGAGAAAATAAGAAAGTTTGGAAAGGGGTTGATTTGCTTGATTTAGAGATATTTATGTAGGATAAGGTAAAGAAAGTTATGGAAGAGATTTATGTGGGATAGGGTAAAGGCAGTTATGGGATCTAATGAAAGATTTAGGGGAGTCCTCTTTTGGAAGTTACATGATCTTAAGGGGAAAACTTCCTATTTAAGGGAGTAAGTATTGAAGTTAGAGAGAGAAATAATGGTCATGTGAGAGCAAGAAAGAGAGGTTGACGTGTGGGATAGAGAGAGAAAGTTATAGGGTTTTCTTTATTTTACTTTTTATTTCTTCTTGGCATGTATTTAAGGTGAAACCTTCCCCTTAGAGACTTGAATATTTTTTCCAACGAGAGTTTGTTTATGAATGAAGAAAGATAGATTCTTGTTCTCTATGGCTTGATTTACAGCCACACTTTGCCCTCCATTATTGTTGAATTTTTGCTTGTTTAAGATCAAAAGAAGACCAAATTTAATTTCCCGAGCTCCTTTTGCATCACGCACTGAGTACTCTTTGTTTGAGGGAAGTTTGGTCATCATAAAAATCACTTTAAGTGGGGCCTTTATATGTCATTTGTAGAAAGAATCTAGATTAAGAGAGGCAGAGGTCTGGGGTAATAGAGATTAGGCTCATCCCTTGGCAAACCCTAGCCATTGTTGTGCCTTTGTCTTGGGTGAGATTCATCAAAATTTACCTGTGGTGATAGAGCAGGCTTTATGATGTCAAGGTTTCGTTTGATGGTGTTGTTATAGTAGGGAAAAAAATTCTGGGTTTCTCTGCCATTGTTAGATAATCTATATAATGCCCCCAAAACTTGTAATTTCCTTCCTTGATAATTAATATATCCTTGCCCATTGCTTGTGGATGTACAGCACTTAAGGTGAACCATGTTGTAACTTGTTTAATTTGTGGCCTGCCTTGCATTTGCTTTTTTTCTCACACTCATATGTGGTTGTATTTTGCTATTCAAATATAACCGACTACAAACAAAATTTTTGGGTGGGATCCTGGTACTTCCGGTTCCTAGTTCTGCAATTAAGGTATTCCCTAGAACCCTATAATTGGTACGAAAGCAACATTTGGTGATAACCAAAATCAGCATTCCTATGATTTCCTAAAGGGATTGAGAATGTCGTGGTCTTTGACAAAAAGGAAAAGAGATTTTCCTGGGGACCAAGCTAGAAACCCTCATTATCTCTATATGGAATCAAGGATAAAGAATAGGCATAATATTAATTCCTTTTTGTGTCACCTTATGGGAATGGTTGGCTTCTTAGTAGGACAACCAAGAGAGAGGGGAAAAACCACTTGTAAGAGAACCATGGCATCCAAGAAAGAGAGGCGGTTTCCCTATTGAGTTGTGGGTTTGTCAAATTTTCACTTCCAGCGAAAGAAAGTTTCATGTTGCTATCAAGGTTTCTTCCTAGTGGTGGTGTAAAGGTGGAAAAGAGGGAGATTGATCAACGGGCGTTTAGTCTAGAAAGTAGGTTTAGAAGGAAATATTAGTGAGGGTTCTGCCAATGTTTAAAGAGGTGTAAATCTCTTATAAATCGAAGCTGTAATCTTCATTGATAATGGATTTTGATTCGTCATGACTATGGATGTAAACCCTTTGGGGTGAACCATGTTATATCTTGTGTCTTTTGTAGTTTGCTCTTGCTTTTGCTTTGTTTTTTGCACTTATGTTGTATTTATATTCATCTAATTCACGTTTAGCTACCTAGTTACACAAGCTTGGATGGGATCCTGGTATTTAAGGTTCCTACTTCCACAACCAAGAGGCTCCCAAGTACCTTAAACTCGTATAATTGCCAAGAGGAACCACATGCCCATACCTCCCCCTTTGTCAACTAGTCCTTAAACTTGTCAAGTCAGAAAGGATTTAATTACTTAGAAGGCTGATACACCAAAACATATCGTAAGCCATCAACTTTTTTTATGAGATTTAACCCATCATTAGTAGGCATTCTGCATGACAAAATCTACTAATGGTGGCCTCTAATTCTTTTAAGGCTGTGTTGCTTAAAGCTCATTCAACATGATAGGATTCTCCTTCCAATTTGTTCTTGCTCTTTAACGTGGGACAGTATAGATTGTCTATACAATAAAGACATTTACATTTAGGGTGGAAAACAAAATTATGATTGCTAGCATCAACTGATATCTTGTTTATCTAATATAAGGGAAATGTGTATCTGATCCCTGGGTATGAAGTTCTACTGCTAGTATGCATGGGTATAAGTTACATTTTGAAATTTTTTCCTATTAAAATAATGCTCACTGAAGTAAAAAACTATGAATCATTTTGACATAAGAAACTCTACCGGCTTGGTAGAACAGGCCATGCATAATGATCACTAAAGAAGAGGCTGCTGGCAGTAAGAGTACAAAGAGCATGCTGAATCATCACGGTTTCGAACATCAATGTATTATTAAATGTGAAAGATAAAAAATGTTCCCGCAATTGATGTGCATGAATAATGAGAATTACATGTCTGGATTCAGAAGACTCCATGTTGAATAAAGCGCATGCTGAATCATCAAGGTATAGAACAACAGTATATTATTAACTTTGAAAGATAAAATAATGAGAATTACATGTCTGAATTCTGCAGATCCCATGTTTCGTGAGTTCCATTTTCACCATTATGTTAACTTTGCATAGGCATTTTCATTAAGGAATCAGACTAATAATGCAGTAAGTGAGAAACAAAAATAACTAAAAGACATAAAAGGGGTCTAGAAATAAGATACAAACAGTTATGGCAATTTGCTGAAGTGTATTACAACTGTACATATATAAAAATGAGAAAATACCTCATTTGGTATGACATTCCAGATGCCATCACTTGCAAGAATTAGAAAATCCACATCATCAATTTCTCTCTCCTAAAAGCAGATAACATAAAAGAAGGCATCGATAAGTAAAAATCTTCTTTCTCACTGTGCATCTAGAAACATAGCAACTTTTGCACAACTGAACACATAGTGACCTCGAGAAGAACCATCTGTTATACATGAAAATGTAGCAATTAACTAATTTCCAACTCACAATGGTATCACAAGTTTTTTTAGCAGGTTGACTACAAATTTTTGATAGAGAGATTTATACGTGGCTGGCATTAGGGCCAAATGATTCCCATGACAATTTCTCATTGCCCAGACTGTTCCTTTATTTAATAAAGAAAAAGAGTGACGCACAGGCATGTGAAGAATTCCACATATGAATGCCTTAGCATGTTTTGGTGGCAAAAGATTCATATCGATGGAGAAAATTTAAAGGAGAGTAACCACTTGTCGAGAATAATGTTATAACTTTGTTCAATAAAGAAGAAGTATTTGTAAATATCACTCCCACTGTCAAGATACAATCAGATCCCAACCTCTTTTGTTTTGCCATATAGCAAGTTAAAGAATATGGGAGAAATGGTAGAAGTTATTGGGGGCATGCCCACCTTGACCCTATGAGATCCAAAATACATTTTTATACACAAAACTCAGGAACCGAAAGTAATCAAATGTGGTATGGCCGGTGTTTGGATTTCTATTGTTTCATTGAGCTTTTTTGGGAAATCAAATCTATAGTCAGGATTTTGAAGCCTCTGTACAAATAGAACCAGGCATAGGCTTAGAAAACAGCTGATGACAGGGGTTGCAGAACCAGGCGACAACAATGAGGAATGAAACAGGGCAGAGGCACCATATGTGGGTTTGGGTAACTGCAGCAACAGCTGCTGCCACCAAAAACTTGAATTTATCAGCCCTTGCAATGTGACAACTGCAATAGCTCCTCGTTCCATGAAGTTGCAACAGAGGCCCACTTGGTTTGGTCTAGTAAATATAATAATAGTTAATAAATAATAAGAAGAAAATAGAATATATTTATAAATAAATGATGCAATGTTATGGAGTAAAGATATCTTCCAAAACCCAACATAGTTGCAGAAATTTGAAAGGAAACTACAAGGACAGTGTGTACTTTGACGAGAAACATAAAATCATAGCAATCCTATCTTTGAAACATGAAGAGATTTGCCCCCAATTTTTTGTCATCCACTTTATTAGTATTCACTGCTTCACAATTCAGTCACTACCATCTAGGGGCTGGACTGGGCCAAGGGCCAGATGGAGCCGGTCTCAATTGATTTATAGTTGGCTCAGGCCTGGCATGAGCCAGGCTTGGGTAAGAAAAGTTGGCCTGGGCCCAACCTATTCATTTGGTTCATGGCCCGGGCCCAACCAGCCCAGCCCTTTACTTAAGAAAATTGCAACCCATGGGATTCAAACTGCATTAATAAAATAACAATTATCAATCAATAAAAACAGCGCATAAGTTGTAGTAAATTGAGGAATCGTAATAATATGCAATTATATTAAAAAAAATTCAAATAAACCAGACAGAGCCACTTGGAAGTGCCATGGCGGGCCCGAGCCTGGCCCAGACACAAAGCGGGCTGGGATTCCGTTCCATGGGCCGAGCCTGTTGGACCAGTTACCAGGCAGAAGCCCCACAGCAGCTTTCCAGGTTGGGCCATCCTATTTGCATTCATACTACCATGTATTGACCCAATAATTACTTCCCAAAAGTTCATCAAATTTCCTATCCTCTTAAACCATATGTTTATTAATACTCTTGGAAACTTTTAACTTGAGTTTTCGTGTACACTTTTTCTTCTTTTGATATGCAAACTGGGATGACAATAAACGATATCCATAAATGCTGACCAAAATTTTGACAGTTCAAAGCAAAATTATGCTTGCAGATCTGAATGAGAAATTTTGTTGCCCTACCACTACAAAACATGATACGATCATCATAATGGCCAAACCGATCACACATTTTGAAATTTACCTGTATTTCTGGTTCAGCAACAACATACTGCTTAAGTAACCTGTCGCCAAATGCACGAGAAACAGCAAGTACACCACCAACACGCCATGTTCCTAACAGTAGCAAGGTTTACTAAACAAGAATCAGTGGAAACATAGAAAGAATGTTTTCGAGCCTAATAAATAAAAAAATGCATATCTAATGAATAAGACTTCGAAAATCTCCTTACCTGCCCAAATAATGAACCCTCCAGCATCTTCAATCCGACGGCGTTCATCAAATCTATCAGGTTTGTGATCAATAGACAATGGCATTACTGCAGCACAACACAATATCATCATTGCCAACCACCACCTTATTTAGAAGGTTAATAATTTAATTTATAGCAGCCATCACAGTAGTTATATGTCACCAAATTACTGGATAGAATAACTCAAATAAATTAAAATTTCCTTGAATAAAACAATCTGAAGCAAAGAAAGAAATTTCGGCTGCCTTGCCGCTAAGGCGTGGACTAGGTGGTATGCTCCAGGCAGGTGCATCAAGGCACCCAAGGTGGCATTAAAGGCGGGCGCCTAGGCACCGCCTCTAACAATCGAGACCGAGGGCCAAAAATGCCCCTCGGCCATTGGATAATTTTGTCTTTTCCCCCCTAAGAAGAGGGAAAAGGGTTTTGGGAGCCATTCTTGCCCCCCAAAACGTTTTTAGTTAGGTTTAGAGTGAGAAAAGCCTCGACAAAAACAAGATCTGTAGAGAGACTGAAACTTTTTTCAACATCGTCGAATGCTTACGAAATTAAGGATATTCATCCCCATTCTTTTGAGGCCTATAGTGGTTGTAAAAGAGGAAATTTGAGAGCCAAAACTTTCAAGTTTGGGCCGATATCGATTCCATTTCAAGAAGGTTGGGCATTTTTCAATATTTTTTATTATGTTATGTAAATTTTTTGTTGACAATGTCATATAATGTTATTCTTTACTTTTTGCTTTTTCTTTTTGATATTTTATGATATATATTTGATATGTTATCAACTATTTGGATTTTTTTTTTAAATATCTATTTGGATTTTTATTCACCCAAAATAAAACTATTCGGATTATTTTCCCATTTTGATATTTAGTTTGGGTCTTTGGGAAAGCAAGTCAATGGAGAAAGTCCATTGCCCCCAAACCGAATGAATTATTTTATTTTTAATTTAATTTTATGCATGATTCATAAACAATAACTTTTTCATTTACACTTTAAAGTCATGTATGTTAATATTTGATCTATACTTTTGACTTCTGAACAATATATTATATACAAAACTTCTTAAATAAAAAAATGACAATTCTATAAACAATAAAAAGGGAAGGAGGGGGGGGGGGGGGGGAGGAGGTGTGGGGCACCCAACAATCCGCAAGGATCTGCCCCTTCCCCAATGCAGGCTGCCTTTGTGTCTAGGCGCCTGGACCCCCGATCGCCTAGGCGGCCGCATCTGCCTTCTTGAACATTGATCTGAAGAAAGCAGCAACTTAAAAAGGTCAGGGCAAAAAAAAGGAAAAGAATGCCACATAACAATGCAAATAGGGAGAAACTTGGCAGCCATTCTTTGGACAGACCTAAATCATCAAAATCCAAATTGGAAGCCCTGAATACAAGAGCAAGGTAGGAAATACATTATAAGAACCCATACCAGTAAATAAAAAAGAGGAGGGGGATGGGGGTGCTCTCTCTAGAGAGAGAGAGAGAGAGAGAGAGAGAGAGAGAGAGAGAGACGACATAAGTAAGACGACTAATAAGTAAGTAAACGTAAACGAAAAAGTAAAACTAACTTAACTTACTACTATATAGTAGTAGGTAGGGTACGGGTCGACCTATATT